GGGAAAGACACCTGCTGTTGACCTTCGGCCTCCACACACGTGCATGTGCACATGGACACATGCATCTGTGTGCACACACACAAACACAAACTGTGGAGCTACTTGACTATATCATGTCAGTCTCCTTTCTTGAGTTCTGCCATCCAAGGATTGACGTTTTTTTCAGAACCCACACAAAGTGGGGTTTCCCTCTGGGATTTCTATAGAGGCAGGGAAGGAAAAAAATGTCCACATGATTCAAGCTAAGATTTGACCTTTGAGCCTAAGTGGTGTGTGGTGTTACACAAGCGAAGAGACATGTAGCTGGTATTAGAAGGTCTCCTGACCCTGGCGTCGACATTTTGGGAGTTGGTTTGAGTGACGGTGGCTGAGTCACTTGGTTCCTTTAAGCCTCACCTTGCTCATCTGTAATAAAGTACCGGGAATGGACTAATGCTCTTTGGGAACATGTTCTGTCCCAGTTTAATATAAGTCTACCCAATTTAAATTTACTCTTGGGAGCTTTTGTTTGTTCTAATAATTAGCTATTCACAGAAGTGGCCAATAGAAGTCAGTGACTCAAACAAAACTTCTAAAATCCACTTAATTTTTACAGGATTTTTAAAGAGATTGAAGGGACATTAAAGAACACAACTATTTCACTTTTTTATTATTAGGATACTAAGCATTTTCAAGCCAACAAGACACAACAGTCCTCATGGAACTTAAACTCATAAAAAAACATTGAAAGAACAATTATAAAAGATTATTGGAGGGTTTGAGGCAATGATACACTCACACCCAGACTCACTGGATGATTAGTAGTTTCCTGTTGGACATTCAGAGGCAGAAACTTTATACACAAACACTTGTCTCTCCTGTTTCCTTCTTTAGTCACTTCAAGAACGTTCTTACATCACATATGATGAGTCCAAGAGAAAACCTAATATATCCATCTTACATAGTGTGTACATACGTATATGTGTGTGTTTGTATGTATGTGTATGTTGAATGTATGTGTGTGTTAGATGTATATATGTATATGTTTGTATGTATGTATATGTAGATGTGTGTATATGTGTTTATGTATGTGTGTCTATGTGTGTATGTGTGTATGTGTGTATGTGTGTGTGTGTGTGTGTGTGTGTGTGTGTGTGTGTGTGTGTTTGTAGAATGTTTTGAGATATACTCTGGGCATTTTTCAAGTCCATGATATTTCATGTGCTTTTAAGATGCATTTATCATTTTTCACTTATTTATTGATTATTGTGGATGGGGGCTCACTCAAACTATGGTGTACATGTAGAGGTTAGAGGACAACTTGTTGGAGTTAGGTCTTCCCTTCCATCGTGTGTGTTCAGGGGATCAAACTTAGGTTGTCAGGCTTGGCATAAAGCTCCTCTACCCACTGAGCCCCTTACAAAATTCTAAAATGATGTGTTGTTGTGTAATGAACAAAATCAAACTCTTCAATACATGTGCCAGAGTTCCTTGGCCATCACATCTAACCAGAAATCCTAGAGCCCAGCTTCACAAACTCCTCACTGTGATCTAGCCAAGTTCTTCTGCTGACTCAGCCTTTAAGCCTGTTCCTCCGTTCATACTCCTCCATGAAAACGCAATCTAAAGGCCACTTCTTAGTAAAGACTTTTGTGTTTATACTGTCATAAATTAAAACTTGCTCCATGCTCCCCAGGCACGCTACCTCTATAAACCAACATTTTATTCTGTAAGACATCAGACTTTAATGTAGATATGTCTCTCACAAGAACAAGATGCCCTGTCTGAATCTGTGAATCTTCAAGTGTGATCTATGATCACTAAAGCTGGAGTGAGTTGACACCAAAAGCTCAATGCACTACATTTTCTGCTCCCTTGCTATATTGATTGAGTTCTGCTTTATTTTCTGAGCTTTTATTTTGAATTCTCTTTCTCCTTGGATTTGCTCAAATTATAACAGCATCTCTATTTCTTCCCTTGTTCACCTTGTTCACCTTGTTCACCCATCTTGGATCCCACATCCTTCATGCCTGTTCTAACATTATCCTCCAGTGTACTTAACTATCAACTCCTCTGGAGGAAGACGCTGCATCTCCTGGCCCTAGAAAATGTTCTTTCTTCTGTAAGGAGGTCATGGAGAGATAAGAGAGCAGAAAAGGCTGCAACATTTTATACCAAGAATATATGAAATACTTCTGGAACCAGCGGAGATTGTATGTAAATCTTCTCAGGGAAAGCCAGGCTGTCCTTAAACGTATTTAGCTGTCTATCCCGTAGAAAATGAAGCAAGGACATCCTGAAGAGAGGACGCAAAGGTGGTGAGACACAGAGAGGAACATAGTACTATTTAGGAAATGATGGGTAAAACAGCCAGATGCACAAAACCCCATCACATTAAGTGATGCCAAGAGTTAAGGCTGCAAAATTGCATTCTACCAAGTTACAGGAAAATCCCAATGCCGTGCATGCTACAAACTTCAAACTTTATCTCATAGATCACAGAAGTTTAGACAACAAATGATTCAATTTGGGAACTGGAATAAACTTTTTCAAAGTGATTTATGGAATATAACTTCAAAATACAGTTTGGAGGAGGATAAAATTGAACAGTGAGTGCTAAGGTTCTCCCAAATTTGAAGGGCAATAAGGATATTAAAGGCATCCAGTAGGCAAGGAATTTCTGAGACATAGAAAGTTCATCTGAGAGAAAGCAGGCATTTAGTCAATAAAATCTGATGAGTTGATGTGGGGAAGTACAGATGTAGGCTTTTTCTCTTCTGCTTCTGGCTTAAGCAATTGTAAAAATAACGGGTAAGAAATAGAAACTACAGCCATGTTGAATGCTGGCAGAAAATTCTCAATAGTGAAAATAATACAGCACAGCAACATGCAAAGGAAAGAAATGGGAGCCAGGAAAGACAATTCCTAGATAGACCCTGGGAAGGAGAGGGGTAAACAGAGATGTATACATGAAAACAGATTTGGAAGAGGCAGCAGCATTCAGAGATCAACCCTCGTACCCAGTCATGGTACATGGGGGAGGGAACAGTCATGTAAAATTACCATGATTTAATTGTATCCATAACTTGACTTGGGAAAGACGCTTTTGTGCACTTGAGTGCAACTGCTCCAGATGTTCTAAGAACTCCTAACTTTTTAATCCCAGTAATAAAACCATTCTGCCAAAAGGTAATGCGGGAGAGAGGAGAACCACTCAGGTTCTGAATTCTTTCTTTCATATGGACACAAGCTTAGGTAGTAACTGATGAAGTCCTTTTTGGACTCAGTAAGACCTCTTCCTGAAAGCATGCTGAATTTTCTCTTTATATTCAGTCATAATAATGATGTCACCACAGTTTTAATGGAAACTTTGAAGACATATTATTGTGCCTGTGAGTTGATACATGGTGAACTTAGACCCTAGGAAAAAGCATATTACAGGCCCCAGAAAGCTGTTATTAGCAACATAATGTTAGGAAGGTGGTGAGCACCACATAAATCGACTTAAAAGGCCATGAGAAGAGCCATGATCCTATCCCACCATTTATAGTCCTTTGATACCCCAATCTCCACCTGTGATCTGTCTGCTCAGTTGAATGAGCTCTTCTTGCCTCCCACGGTTCCCTATAACCCTTCATTTCCCTGCTGCTTGATGGTGGACCCCTTATTCTACCTCTTCAATAAGAGTGAGGTCATTGAAACAAGGATGGAGTCATTTCCATAAATTTCCAGTGCTTGTGAAGAACCAGCATAATAACAAAACTCAGGCTTAAACTCAACATCTCATGGTCAACTTCTTCAACTAGCAATCATATAAAACATGTACAGTTATTATCATAAGCAATGAAGTTAAACCATTGATCTCTGTTACCTCATATCCATTCTTTGAATAATTATTAAGAAGTATTTGACAAGTACTAAGAATCTGTACACTAGACAGAGTGAGGAGAATGTGAATGATAGATTGGTTGAAACAGATTTACAAGTGGTACTTAGTTACATTAACAAGAAAGAAACAGTCATGTGAATAGGAATGGAGACTCATCAAAGGACCAAACTTCCAGGAGATGGACCTCAGATAATACTACCAAATCTTAGTTATCCTTGCATCCACCATGCCTATCTTGGGAATGTTGGATTTTCATTACACAATTTCTAATAAAACATTTTTACTTATGTACATGCAATTCAGGACACACTAATCTTGAGAATATAATCAATGTAAATATGTTGAACTTGACTTTAAACACAGGGCATGCTATGATTTAAGTATGGTAAAGCATTTGATCCCATAGTTCTTGTCTCCAACAAAACAATGCATTACTATTAGCACGTTACTTTTAATAGTACCTGGAAGATTCAAATTTTATTTTGTGTCAGGACTGCAAGGTGATTCAAAACAACACAACAGACTTAGAAATAACCTTCACAGAATCTTAGCAAGAAATATTGAAGACGTTTAGCTCACAAGATGCATTTTCATCTGTGACGCCACCGTGACAGTAAAAACATTACAAAGAACATGTTTCTGTGACTCCATCTCCAATGCAGCTTCTGCTAATGCACGTGAGCAAAATATCGTGTACCAATGTTTATGTGTGTAGGGATGCTTACATATTCAATTTCCCCCTAAGAAATTAAAGTTTAAAATAAAGTACAGTACCACTGTAGTATTTTATGGACAAGTTGAATAATACTTCCTCTCCAGTAGAATAGCGATGCTGATTTGCCAATGTCTATTTAAAGAGATTGATGTTTTAATTCCACCAGCCTGAACTGCAAAGGAGCCTAGAGATAAGCGGCATGCAGTTTTCAGGTATGTGTTAGAAGAGCAATTGAACACCTTTTGCTTTTCCTTGCTAGGGAAGTCCTTATCTGATCCTTGTAGAGGTTGTGCCAAGCCCATTAATTATGTCCTCTAAACTATGTCTTTACTGCAGGCGAAACCTCTGTGTCCCTTTGTCGTTGTGGCCCTTACTTACTTACTCTCTCAAACAGATTGCCCCACGGGAAGCGGGGAGCTGAAGTTCTTTACAGCTGACAGATCCTTCCCTGGAAAGAAGACACCAGTCTTCTCCAAAACAAGCAGATGGTCATGCCCCTTGAAGTTTCCAAAGAGATTCACCTCTATCACGCAGGATTTCTCTAACAAATGGGAAGACATACAGAGAAAGAAGAAGACCAGGCAAATGCAACCTAATTATGTTCTTTGTTCTTGATGTCATCAAAATAGCCCGTGTCTGAATATAAGCCACTAAAGCAAGGACTAGTCAAAAACCAAGAGGGAAATGAAAAATAATAAATGATATTTTTAAGTGGCATTAGAGACAAAGTGACTTCACCTTTAAATTAAGCGCTTGGGATTTTGGCATTTGTGTTGGTTCATGATCATTGTCAACCTGGCTGGATTTGGAATCACCCATGAGAAACACCCCTGAGTGTACCTAAAAGGACATTTCCAGATAGGTTTAAGGGAGAAAGGCAAGCCCACCTTGAATGTGGGTGGTACCAATCTATGCATCATGGGTGCTGGCTGAATAAAAATGAACACCAACAGACCAGTCTGGCTCTCTCCTTCCTGCTGTCCTCAGATGTGAGGAATCCCACCTGCAGGCTACTGCTGCCACCAACTCTGACATACCTTCCCTGCCATGGCAGATGGTACCCTCTTACCTGTGAGCCAAAGGAATTATTTCTTCAGCAACATTGCTTTCTGTCAGTTATTTGATTACAGAGACAAGAAAGTAACTAGTAACAGCATTTCAGTAGAAGTAATTTCATTTCCACTATGTTCTCCACATATGTACGGCAACGGATGGAGGAAACTAAGGAGAAACTGAAGCACCACTTTAAAAATGTCCAAATAACCGCCTGCTGGGCCATCCAAGCTTCAAAGTGGAATAATTTAAACTAAGAAGAACATGTATATTTCCAGCAGCTAGAAACTCATTTCTGATAGTTATCAATTTTGCAATATGATAACCTTTTTTATTTTCTTTTTTTTCCATTTCAGTCTACATTTCTGGGATGTCATTCAAAACTGGGCAATGGGCTAGGCATCTGGGGAGCATAGATCCTGTTACAGATCCCAGTTCAATTTATCAACTTCATTGGTGAAAGTTCTGAAATCCAAGCACATGTTCAGTAAACTATATCACTTTCTAATAAGGCTAATATAAAGATAAAAAACAATTACTGGTTTAATGGGCTGTAGTGTCTAATGCATATCCAACAAAATATAATGTCTATTATTATGTTGAAATACAAGTTTGTAGGAAATTTCTCCTATGCTATAATTAATGATCTATTGGGATATTAAAAACCAAAATGACAATCATCTTGCTGTGCATTCCTTTGATCACTGAACTTTGGTAGCAAATGTAAAAAGATGAGTTCCTGGCAAGTCTGGACTACCCAGTGAAGTCCAACCTAAGTTTCCAAGAGAGATGTGGCAAAGGGTCTCCATGGTAGAAGAAGCTAGTGGTAGAAATGTGCCGAGCGTGTGCAAGGACCTAGGACCAATCCCAGCACTTAAAAACAAAAGAGCATGAATAGTAGGAGAAAACAGAACTGCAGATACAGTGGTTGGCACTCCACCTGAGGGCATGTCTACTATTGCAAAAAGAGAATGAGACAAAATAACAACGCCACCAATGAAAGAATCGCATACTTCCTGGAGAACCTTCTAGAACTCTAAAGCTGGGACATGTTTAGTGAAGGTCTGAATTTAAGAAGAGAGGAACCAAAGTTCATGTTTTCATATAATAAGTACTCGAATCCCTGACAATTTCATTTATTTTTCCATAGCTGTAAGAAGTCTGGATCTGTTGTGGTTACATCTGTTGAGATTACACCTGTAATCTCAGAATTCAGAATGCTGATGCAGGGGCACAGCTGGTTAAAGTAAAGCCAGGGCTACATAAATAAGACTGTGTATCAAAAATAAAATGCAAAGTCATGGGCACTGCATTTCCTCTTATCCAGTATAAACACCACAGCTCTGCAGGGGCCCAATTTACATCTTTTGTTACTCTTATTCAAGGCTAAAGTAAAAGAATTCAGACTAGTGAATCGCACAAAGTATCCATTGAAAAGATTATTGTTAGTTGAATAAAAAAAAAAGTGATGAAGAAATGAATCAACAATGGCTATCAAAGAGGAAGCACCTTCAAAATATAAAATAATAGGAAAAGAAAGATTGAGCAAACAGTGCCTAAGTTACTACCCATGACTCTATTGCTCATAGATGACCCTGAGACGCTGTGGTTGTGGGAGCAGAAAGACTAAGGGGACATCAGTGCTTTGGTCTGTCCATGGCTCTCACTCAGTTCTGGTAGTAGACAATGGAAATCCCGTCTAGACAATTTGAGAGGCCAGAGCATCACACTGTAGTCAAAAGTTTTCCTCTGTCCCACTGAGTCCCGCAGCCACTTGGACCCAAGTAACCACAGAGGCTTATATTACTTATTAACTGTATGGCCTAATGGCTCAGGCTTCTCGCTAGCTAGCTCTTTTATCTTTAATTAACCAATTTCTATTAATCTATGTTTTGCCACATGGCCATGGCTTACCAGTACTTTCACATCTTGTTTCTCCTGGCAGTGGCTGGTGTCTCTTCTCTGCCTGTGCCTCTCCTTTCCCTCTTTTTCTTTTCTAAAAGAGAATACTTAGTCCAAACTTTTCTTCCACCCCCCAACCCTATAACCATTATCCATAGCCCTGAGTAACATGAAACCTTTGGGAGAAAGAGTGTCGTTTTCTTAGGATTGCTTTCTGCTATTTAGGGGGTGATGATATCTCAGTGGTGTCCTGTAAGAAAGAAAGCTCAGATAGTTAGGTCTCAGTTGGACTAACTGTGGATTCTGAAATCACACACGGACAATCACTGGCCAAGCCTGGATGATCCACATTCCACAGAAGACGTTGTGGCAACTGACCACAGTTACAGGTTAGAATGGAATTTTTTTTTCCATAAATGTTTGGCTTTCATTGGTGCATTTCCTAGATGTGTCAAAAAGAGTCTGGAAGCAGTTACATTAGAAGCTGCTACCATCTGGAAGCAGAGTCTCAAAGAGGAAGAATTACTCAATCTAAATCCACTCAGCTTTTGTGGGTCCATGGAAATCTTAAGATAGTTTTCCTATTTCTGTGAAGAATAAGATGGAGGTTTTGATTAGGATTGCATGGTGTCCGTAAATAAATTTTGGTAAAGTGGCATTTTCACAATATTAAACCTACCAATCCATGAGGATAGAATATCTTTCTATTTTCTAGAATACTTAAATAACTCTTTCTTCAAAGGGTTAAAGTTTTCATCATGGGGGTGAGAAGTGGAGAGAATCTGGGAGGAGATGGGGGAGGAAACCATGATGAGAATATATTATATGAAAAAAAATATTTCAATGACAACTATAAAACCTACTAAAATTGTTGTCATTGTATTGGCCATTCACTTCCCATGGTTAAGTTTATTTCTAGATATTTTATTTTCTTTGAGGCTATTGTGAATGGGAGTTTACCCATGATCTCTTTCTCTGTATGTTGATTATTGGGATACAGAAAATCTATTGATCTGTGCAAGTTAATTCTGTATCTTGCCACATTGCTCAATTTGTTTGTCATTTCAAAAGTTTTCTAGAGAATTTCGGAAATCTCTAATGTTGTATGCAAGCAGGGATAGCTTGACTTCTTCTTTCCAATTTGAATACCTTTAATTTCCTTCTCTTTGCAATCACAATACTGGAAAGTAGCAGGAGTAGTGAACAGCCCTGTCTCATGCCTGACTTCAGTGGGATTGCTTCAAGATTTCCTCCATGTAGGATGATGTTGGCTGTGGGTTTCTTGTATTTAGCTTTTATTGTGTTGAAGTATGTTCCCTCTAGTTCAAATTCTCCAGGGCTCTAATCAGGAAGGCATGTGGTATTTTGTCAAAGGCTTTTTCTGCATGTATTGAGATAATCAAGTGATTTCTCCCCTTTAAGTTTATTTATGTGGTTTATTACATTTATTGACTTGCATGCGTTGAACCATCCCTATGTTTCAGAGATAAGATCAACTTGGTCACAGTGTATCTTTTTTATGTATGTTTGTATTGTGTTTGCAAGTATCTTGTTGAGTATTTCTGAGTCTACGTTCATCACAGTTACTGGGCTGCAGCTTCTTTTTGCTGATAGTGTTTCTTCACCTGTTTTGGGTATTAGAGTACTAGAGGCTTCATGGAAGGAATATGGGAATGCTCCTTCTATTTGTCATCAACTTATTCTTTTCCTCCACCTCCTCCATTTTCTTATTTAAGAAGGATTGATTGGCTATAGACCTTTGAATGTCTGGTAGAATTCTGCTATGAGTCAATCTGGCCCTGGACTCTTTTTTTTTTTTTTTAAACTTGAATGCTTTTATTGCTATTTCAATCTCCTCATTAGGTACAGGACTGTTTAGGCTGTTGATTTCTTGATTAATTTTGGCAGTTTGGATGAATCTAGAAACACATCCATTTCTTTTAGACCTTCCAACTTAAAAGAATACAACTTTTTAAGTATTCCTTACATTATTCTGAATCGCCCAAAGGACTCAACATTCTGACATCCTGTTTTATAGATACTTGCTCAGTCCTGTTCATTGATGCATTATATTCATAATAGCTAGGTAATGGAAACAATATAAATGTTCTTCAACCAATGAATTCATAATAAAAATGTAATACCTATACACCATGGAATACTATTCAGCTGTAAAGAAAAATGAAATCATGAACTTTGTAGGTAAATGGGTGGAACTAGAAAAGATCATACTTAGTGAAGTGACCCAGATCCAGAAAGATAAACAATGAATGTGCTCTCTCATCAGAACCTCCTAGCTCCAAGTCTTCAGATGTGAGTATACATCCTGGAGTAACTGCAGAAATCAGGAAGGTAAAGGGGACCGTTTAGGGTCAGGGGTGGGGGATCAATAGGGAGTGGAATAGCAGGGAACAATTGTTGTGAAGGGGAAATGAGAACAGGAACCCTCTAATAAGGGACAGGGAGGGAGATAAAAACAGAAACAGGAAGGAGGATAAAATAACAATCAGGATTCTGAAAAAGTCATATAGAATCATACTATTAACTATCCACCTAAAATGTACATAATATGTGTAAGTTGTTGTGTAAATAAATGTACATATTTTAAATGGAAATTCCCATCTAGGCTGGCAATGCTACCTCTAAGAGCCATAGACCGCCTAACAAAATCTCAACACCAGGCATGAGAAGCCCTCTTCTGAGTCGTTGGTCAGGGTTTCCAGTGCTTCCCAAAACATTGTAGGCTGCTGATATTGCACTTGGTTGCCCTACAGAAGTAGAAGGCAAGTCCCTATTTCTGAGGATACAAAGCACTTCAGGCACAGTGCCCAAAGGGCTCTGGGATGGAACTGACCCGAAAGCTTCAACCCTGAGGACTAGCTTTCATGGAAACAGAAGAAACCATGTAATCCTCCAAAGGAGGGAAGCAACCCACAGTCCTATGTATCTATGGTGCCCGTGTAACACAATGATGACAAGCATGACACAAGAACACTGCAGGTGCAGTAGTCACACACACACACACACACACACACACACACACACACACACACACACACATATATATACCTTGGTGGTAATTAACAGCTCTCTAACTGGACTTAAGACCCACTCAACGGGGATTACAGAGACTGTACCACCAACCACAGAAACTCCTCTTTGCCACAGATGGAAACCATTAAAGCAAACTACAACCAATCAAAATGCAGAGTTGTGAAGCACAGTCCCAAGGGATGCATCTACAATACAACTCCTGCACCTAAGGGTCAGAAGTCACTGAAGAAGAGGGGATGGAGAGACTGTAAGAGCCAGAAGATAGGGAGTTTTCTGTGAGACTGTGTCTCCTGGGAAGGGCACAAGCTATACCCATCAAGTAGCTGCAGTTGATATGATTGCCTACCCATGTGCTGAATGAGGGCAATAGACATGTGAGCACAGATGTCGGAAAGGCCAGGAGGCCTCAAACCTACACAAATAGCTACAAGTAACTAATAAACACTGAGAGCAGTTGAAACAGTCTTCCCCAGGGATAAGCACACCTACTAGGTCTCCAATAACAAATAGTCGGTCCTGAAGACATACATAGGAGTGATATAATTCAGACTGAGTGGTCTGTACTCTTATATTTAGGAGTATGCTTGCATGTATGTATGTATATATA